CTTATAGGCTTAAATACCAATTAACATGTAACATTTTCTATTACGAGAAAAATTAGAAAGGTGAGAACTATTCAGAAATGATCACATTCCAAGTTTATTAAAGTGAGAACTATTCAGAAATGATCAAATATTTCTGAATAGTTCTCACTTTAATAAACTTGGAATGTGACTTTCACGCTGGTTATGGGACAGTTACGCAAATAACGGTAGGTTACGTCTTCCCTAATTGTTATCATATGTTTTATTTACCTAAATATTTGCACAACTAATTTAATACGCGCTAAAAAGTTGAGCAAACGCAAAGTGTGAAGGGAGTATCGTCTTACAAAGGCCATAAAGATGCTAGATATTAACTAGGATATAGATAAGCCCTCGAAATGCCCAAGCAGAATGAATTTATTATGCGGAAAATATCTGGTAACAAGTTTCTGAGGCAGGTCTATTATAACAACAATTCGCATTAACAAATCTGCTTCCTTTTGATCAATCATTGTCCCTCTCGAATCATAAAACCCTTGACTGACTTGTAAACCTATTGTTTAATTACCACAGTTATCTCATTAGCATATGCGACTAGTAACTTCTGATCAATCATCCCATCACACTTGATCACCACTGCAAACCCACCTGACAACGTCCAGCTGTCTGGGCCCCCATTCGCATTTAAATGTATTACCTAGTTGCAATATTAATTACCTTTAAGAATTTCTCAGGCCCGGGGAGTTGGGTAATTAATCTCGCAATCCCGTCGTATAGAAGCAAATGAACCCATCCGATTACATCAACGCTACTAACTTGTTCGGAGACTTGGAATTTCACACATGTATTTAAGAGATCTTAAAACAAACCGCTCGCTCGATTGGTAAACAACCGTCGACAAGCATCAAAATCGATTTTGGTCAAACGTACATACATATAGTATATAGTATATATAGTATAGTATATATGACTATGGGCGGGGGCAGGTCTAAAAATGAATTACGACTCAATTCGCTTTATATTGGGTGGCCATAAAGAGATATATGCTGATACCGAAATGTCAGGCCAGCCGAACCCGAACCCAAAACCGAATGAAGTCTTGTGGAAGTGGAAGTCTTGGTCAGTCCCCTCTCAAAGGTTGTCGTAAATCGTGCGATTATAAACAATATAATAAAGTATACTTTCCAGCCATTTCGTTGGCCAAGTACCTGTCACAAATTCTTGTTGCCTTTTTTCCTCCATCTCGGTTTTTGTTTTCGGTGTTTAGTTTTGTTTGTGCCTTAAGTAACGCCTTCAAAATGGGTGTTACGAGATGTCGAAGTGGCAAAACATTGTACTGAGTTCCCTAAGGGTTCCGTGTTCGTATTTAGTGGCTCTTTGTGCTAATTTGATAAGCTGAAGTGGGTGCCAACACACAAGATATAGTACAACTCGATGTTTGCCTCCTCCAATCTGATATTGAGACACTTTGAAGTGGGCAATTGACAGGTGCTGACTACCAATGAAAGTTTGATCTGAGTGTGTAGTGAGTCACTCGAATATATCGGGGGTGTTTTACCCCGGAAAGTGAATCAGTTCGATACCAGACTGACGGAGGAAACAAACTCCAATTCTGAAGTGAGTCAGGGAAAGAAATGTATCTATGACAAGGTGTAAAGCTTATACCTACATATTACGGATTTTATGGAGTGTTGTTAGATGCACTCGCTTTATGGCCTACTTTGACTTATTACTTTATTCGGAGAGTAGACGAAAAAGGAAGACTTAAAGCCCCATTTAAATTTATGGGCCTGTGACAAGTTGTTGGTTTCACAGGGGTTTCTCACCTATTCAGCTTAAAATATGGCACACCTAAGGCCACTAAAAGCTATTATTGGCAATGAATATTACTCAGTAGATTTAACTGCATTGCACTGCTTGGAAGTATATATATATAGTATATACATACAGAAGTGCTTAGCCAACTCACTTGACTCCGTCTAAAGATAGCGTTAGAACGCCTATATCTTGCGATTTATGGCATTTGCATGTGGTCGCACACAAGCACATAGGCTGATCCAATATTTGCTAAATACCTCTGGTATTTAACTAACTACTTGTGGGCTTTATCCACCAAGTCTAAGTCTAACTCGAAGTCTAACTGATTGAGGGAGTGACTGACTGACGGAATTCGTACTTGTGTCCACATTAGATTGAAACAGAAGCTGATTCGGAATCACAAAGCTTAAGTGGGGAGACACTGGGTCCCCAAGCTGAGCAAATATTCACGTGAGACGAACTTGTGACTGGAGGCTGTTCGTATTCGCATTCGTTTCGACCAGGCCTTAATTAACGATTTCAAGTGGCCAGCTTGCGGGCTTACCGGGTTTTTCAACGGGTGCTCGATGGGAAGAAATCCACAAAGGTACCAAGAGCACACAAGTCAATTGATTGGCTTGATTGGATGTATTTCGTATACAAAGTTTTGGGCAACAAAGCCCTTTATCTTTGGTGTGGCTTATAAAGGTTTTTGCTTTTTTAAGTGGATAAAGAAACGGTAATCTGCTATGGAAGTGTGATATAAAAATAAATTTTGATAATATATTGATCACTTCTTTAAATAACTTCTGTAACATTTTAAAAACCTCTCAGAATATCAACTTTTCATCAATTGGACCGTATCGCGTGCCATAAAAACGTGCTGCCAAGGCAGTTAAAAAATTGCACTACTTTAACACACACATACGTAGGTATGTATGTATGTATGGAGACTTGCAGAAACAGGGGCGAACGATACTGTAAATACGGCCAATTACAGTTATTGCCTTTGTTTACATTCCATTGGACAATTCGTTATATTTGTGCGCTCCATTAATTCTCTTTACAAGTTTAATTGACATTGCAAATTGTAAAACGCCGCGTTTTATTATTCCCAGGCAGCTTACGTAAACCATAAAGAAGAGTGCTCAAATGAAGATACATATAAGCCCGATCAATCTATCTATCTGATGGATGCTCGGTTACTAATTTGGAAGGCGGGATTTCAAAGTGAAAAGCAATCTTTAACTTTCCTGCTTTCGGCTTAGTCCAATCTTTCATTATTGGCACGTCAATATTTTCACCCCAAAGGATTGTTGTTTACAGGGCCTCTCGGGCCATAATTTCCATTGTTTCTCGTTTTTAATTAAGGGAAATGAAACAACAAAACAATCACAAATAATCAAAAATAATTAAAATGCGAAACAAGAGAAAACACACAGTCCGAGTTCGAATTCGAAATCGAGACATGAGCAAAGTGTGACAAGAGAAGGCGAACAGAACAGAACAGAGCAAAACAAAACAAAACAAACTGCTGGGTAATTAAAAGTAAGATATGACGAGAACAAACAAAAAATTGTGTTTTTGAGGAAGCACAAATTAAGCGGAGTATATCGGTATCGATGTGCAATATTCGTTAGCCGATTGCCATAACTCAAAAGCTGCACGGCACTCGATGCGACGATCAGATCAGACTGATTTCGAGGGCTTCTCGCTTTTTGCTTTTTTTTTTTTTGGCCTTTCGTCAGGAGACTCCGGCGTTAATTGCCTGGCCGGCGGCTAAGATTTGTGCGGGCATTAACATAACAATTTTAATGAGCATAACGCCCCTCCCCGCCTGTCCAGTTGGACAGCCTAATGGAGCTAATGGAGGCGGGGCGGGTCCGAAGGCTGCAAGAGATCCAAAGCCCCCGTTGGGCGACTGAGCCATTGACTTGGCCCGGTCGGCGGGTCGGGGTCACCGAATGAACCGCGAGTGAGCGAAGGTCTTCGGAAGTCTATCATTTCGGCGAGGAGAGGAGCTCTGCGGTTACCTAACCAAAACAACAATCTTCCCACATGCTTCATTTGATCCATATTTATGGTTGCCACATTCCCTATTTCGGCATAAACTATTTACTTTAACTTTCACGGCCATCGAAATTGCAAATCCAATTAAATTGTTGAGTTTGCGCCAAAATGGGGTTCAAAAGCAGGGTCAAAACATTTAAGGTTTGCATGGAGCTTTAGTGTTATAGGGTGTTTACACTCTATTTTCGAGCTAAACCTTTAGACTTTAGAACGCATTTCTGCGAGAGTTTAAGTTTTCGTGGGAAAATAATACCTATACAGTCGAGTCCCGATAATTCGAAATGGCAAGGGGATCACTTTTTTTACGAATTAAACGGGAATTCGATTTATCGAGATTTTTTCAAGGGATTTTTTTTCAAGGGAACAGAATTTTTTACGAATTATCGCGATTTTCGATTTAGCGGGGTACGAATTATCGGTATTCGACTGTAATTTGGTTGTTTTCCAAACTAATCTGATACAAAACACATTTTTTATACTGTATATAAAACCAATTCGAGTCAGTTGGATCATTGGCAGCACATTTATACAGAATTCGACACTGTCATCAGTTTAAGTTTGGTTTTCAGCCAAAAAAAATCGATTTTTTTCTTGAAGTTGGTTGGTTAGTTGGTTTACAATTTCCACCCAAATGTTATCTTAAAATTGTTTGAAAGATTTCAATGAACGGTTCAAGTTTAATCTCAGCCCATAACCCATTATGAGCTGCAGGAAAAATCAGAGGTCTTTAATTACGACCTCGAGGGTGATGAATGACTTTTGGCTAATTGGCGAACGAGAGATTCGGCAGGCGAAGGCCCAGCTGCGCGGAGGATCTCCTCCGGGAAACGCATCGCATAAATTAAACCGGAGCAAGAGCCCGGACCGAGTGGAAACCGGAATCACGAGCCATCCGGGGATGTATCTGAAAGTGTGTGTGTGTGTGTGTGTGTGGCTGAGTGTGGGAGTGTTTCATGCCGGCAATTAATCACACATTCGACGGGTGTTAGTTCAACATTCGCAGCGGGGAGCGGGGTGAATTTGGGTTTGAGTTTGAGATTAAGTTTGGGCTCGGGACACAAAGGATCTCTTACGGAGGCGATGCATTTTAGTCACTGGCAAGGCGCTTGTTAAACACACGCAGACAGGCAGTTAGAGGAATCGGAGGGGCGAACCTGTTCTTGAAGTTGTCGGGCACGAATATGTTCCACCAGGAGTGGCGCTTCTCGCGCGGGAAGTACTCCCCGTGGCTGGGATCCACGCTGTCGTCCTCGTCGTCGTTTCCAGTCCCGTTTCCATTTCCATTCCCACTCCCGTTGGCGTATCCGCTGGAGGCCTCCGCCAAGCTGTCGTTGGTCAGATCGCTCTGCGACTCGCTGCACAGCATGCCGGAGTCGAGGCTGCGCTGGTTGATGTACTCCATCTTCTTGCGGCGGTGCCGGTCCAGCTTCGTCTGCAGCGAGCTGCGCCTGCGCCGCTGGCGATCGGTGGCAGGACCCTCGTACGAGGTGTTCAGCCCCTGCAACACCGGACGCGGCGACTGGCTGCCGTCCTCGAAGAAGGTCTGCTTGCCCGGCTCGTTCGGCGAGCTGGCCCGGATGTTCTCCTCCGAGCTGTAGACGATCTCCGGACTGTTGGGCGTGCCGGAGCCATCGGACTTCTCGCTGCGCACGGCCGATTCGTACGAGTCTTTGGTAGAGTTCTGCAAGGAAGCGAGGAAGTACCTATCAGATTTTGAACCATTTTTGGTAGTGAGATTTCCTTTCTTGCATCAATTTACTTTTCTGTTAAGTGAGCTTGATCATGTCCATGTTTAAGGTATTAAACGATCCTAAACTGTCCTTTGCTTGATTAAAAAAATCTATTTGGGACATCCTAACATTATCTAAACTGATATGATATTCACAGAACTATTTGATATTTACACTGAATAAAGTAATATTCACACTGGTACCTGTACTAATCTTTCTATCAATTTTAAACTGCTTTAAATTGATAAGTATAACTTCCGATTAAGTTATTTTGTGTAGAAAACTCATCGGTAACTAAAAAGTAAAAGTAAAGAAATAATTAAATTTGTAATTCTGCAGAAATACTAATTGGTATTTAAAAACTCAACGGTTGCTAACTGTAATTAAAGGACGGACTTTTCATAAGTAAGGACTAATTCACTTTTTAATATATTATAAGTTGTTTTTACTACTTTCTAAACTGAGGAACATTCTCTTATGTCCGTATAACTCTAAACTTGTATGTTTCTATATAAATCGTACATATGTTTGCTGCCTGATGAGTCTATCTCTATCTTTATCTCTCTATGGAGTAGTGGAAAACTGAAATACATCGTTCACACTCACCTTGCTGCTGTCGCGCCGCAGGAAGGAGACGGCGATGGAGCTGCGGCGCTTCTGGCTCTTGTCCGTCTTGCTGGAGAAGAGGCCCAGGGCGAGGGAGCTGCGCCGCGGCGGCTTCTGCGGGGGGAGGGGGGCGGTGGCGTTGAGGCCGCCCTCTGTGTCCACGGAGTCGCCGTCGTGCTCGTCGATGTTCACCAGCGAGGGAATGGAGGCGCTGGCCCAGTCCTTCCGCAAGCGGTACTTGCCGCTGTCGATGATGCTCATGCTGGCGATCGGTTCTCGGCTCGGATGAGGGATCTTCTCGGGCGGATTAGTGGATCGGCTGGCCACTGGCAATTGGCAACTGGCAATTGGCAACGGCTATTGGCTATTGGCTAACTGCTCACTGCTTGCCGTTGGGCGCTGCAAGTACTCCAACCGATTAATTATCGTCGAAAAACACGACTGTGGCTTTTGGGCCGTTAATTGCCGCGCTCCAATTACTAAGCGTTGCCCTCTCCCTCTCTCCCTCTCTCTCTGTATCGCTCTCTCTTTCTTTTGCGCTGCGGTTGCGAAACTTTTACTTTCAGTGAACCCTATTGAACCGACATTAGCGTGGTAATTAGCAGGCCGTTGTCGGTCGAGCGGAACGTTGTCGTCGCACTGCGAAACCAACAATGAAAACCCGCCTGCACCGGCGTTCCAAGTGCACTGGGGGAACGAATGGAGTACGAAGCTCTACCCATCAGTTTGTTTTTGGCGGGGATCGGGGCTGGGATTCTCGTCGGGGGAGCAAACTGCACCAGCACTTGGTGCGAGGGATTGATTCCCTGGGGGTAAACAATGGCAGCTAGTCGAGATCGATGTGCAAACAAGCTGCGAATTTGTCATTAACAACTGTCATTCGATTTGATTGTGAGCCGAACCCCAATCTAATCCAAAGATTTTAAGGTGTTTAACAGTCACAAATATTTGGAAAGTTATGGAATACAAAAAGATTGAAATTCAACTAACTACTCGTTGACGTGAGCTTAGATTTTTTGTTGCTTAAATAACTATGTAGTCATGAAGTCATACTAAGTCGGGTTGCCTCCAAAACAACTCAAAGATTAAATTCTCACTTTGTGACACCAAAAAATCCTATTTAAAAAAGTGCCCAGAGAAATAATTTTATTAACATTAATGTAAGAGAAATTGCAGGAGGTCAAATGGTTAAACTTACTTCTTATTGGTATAAGCAACAATTGCTTGTTGCTTCAATAAAAAATCTAGACACTAGATCACCTGCTTTCAAAAACAACTCAAGGCCCTCATAAGTGTGAATCGTGCAAATGGCCTCTTGTGACCCCAAGTGAATCTAATCCAGAAATAGGTGGCCACCATGATAGCTCGCCGGCCTCTCACTTTTAACCCGCTTGCCTACTTATTCCGCCATAATACAGGTACTTACCCCGTACTCGGGGTAGCAACAAACAGCGCAGTAATAATGCAAATTAACTCGAAACTTCATGACATCATGGGCGAGTAACAATGGGCAACAACCTACGACAACAATTCAGCATGGGTTATTACAAAACCCAGCACAAAATTCAATGATGACGCCGATGACGATGATGATGATGATGATGATGCCGGTGATGACTGAGTAGAATGGCTGGAGGCGCGGAGCGAGGGGGCCAAGATACGCCACTTGGCTGTGAAATCGAAAGTGGCTGAAGTCAGCCCGAGTTGCCTTACAGCTTACAGCTTTCGGCTTTCGGCTTACAACTGGCGCTATCTCACGATTCTGGCCGGAACAATGGAGCAATTTGAGGGGCGTGAGCCCTCTCGCATATGTTCCTGTAAGCCGACGACAGAGTTTACAATTTAACGCCAGATCAAGTCGTGTGTGGCTGTTTGTACTTCCAATTCTCACCCGGTTCGGGCAAATTATAGTTAATGTTACGCGGGAAGCGGGGAACCGGGGAGCCGGCTAATTGAAATGGGTCATTAGACCCCACGCGACTGGGAATCGTGCCCAGTTGGCCGCTGAGACAAATGGTGCCCTAATAAGTGGGACAAGTTAGCCAGTGTCACATGGCGCCGAAAAGCTATTCCATTTTCAGAGCAATAGGTTCAGCCTTGCAACTTAGAAGTGCATACTGAACTGAACTGTAATGAAATTGCATTATCACTCTAAGCAATGCATTCCTTATGAATGAAAGAGAAACAATAAAGATATAGTTTTTTATCTTTTAAATATGATGACACCTCGCCCAACTAATTCAGTTTTTTGTTCTATTTAAATGCAGTTGAGTATTTTTATTGTTATAACTGAGAAGGGAAACGCGAGTGAAGTGATTACATCACTGAAGTATTGAAGTGGGACAGCACTCGAGATCGCTTACCGGCGTCCCTGGAATTATCTCTGGAGGAGCTGTTGGCCAGCTTTTCGCAAACACTCGACAGGGCCGTAAATACCCATAATAAATGCCTTATCGAGTCGAGCGCAGAATAGCGTATATAGGAAGAGAGCAATTTGAATATGCGGGCAGCTATGCGGGAAAAAGCCAACCTTGTCCGCTCGAAAAGCGAGCAGAGCGGGAACTCGAAGCTGACCACAACCGGTCGAGCTCAAGGCGCTTACAACTAGACTCCAGCTCGACTCGAACCGCTGGATTGGAATGGAATGGAGTGGAGTGGATCCGAATGGAGTGGATCGGAACTGGAGTTCACGCTCGACGGCCAGGCACGTACGAAAGCCACGGGTCTAGGTCTCCGCCAGCTCGGTCTGGATTGGCTTTGAACTTGAATCTGATCGGATTGGATTGGAATGGATTGGCTTGGAGTGGAGTGGAGTAGGTCTAGGTCTAGGTCTCGGCTCTTTACACCGGGAGGAGGCCACTCCGCAATTTATGGCCTGCATCAATAACCCATTGAGGAGTCGCTTATTTATTTATTTGCCTGTCGCCTGGCCAATTGTGCAATGCCCGCATAAATAAGCAAACACCAAAGACCTGCAGCCAAAGTCCGAATTCAAAGTCTTAGATTTAGTATGTCAATGTCATGGTTAGTCAGGCGATTAAACTGGTCGCCGTGAGTTGTGGATCCCTCGGTAAAGTTGCTTATTCAAATGTAAATGCAGGCAAACAGAAACAGCAGTAAAACCAAAACAATGTTCTTGCAGTGCTACGTTTGTGTTAATTATACATATGTAATTATAATAAAGGGGAAAGAAATCACATTTGAGTTTCTGATCCGCCTTACATAATAATAATGCTGATACTGATCCATTCACAAATGTCTTGCTTGGATTCCTAAGAATTGTATTTTAATTATTCTGTTATTGCAAACTGCGACTTCGGTCGGAAAATAAGAAGTATTTCCAGAAGGCGAGTGCAATCAGCGGGAAACGAAACTTTCCATGCAAATGCCACAGAAAGAGCGGAAAACTACGGCACGTGATAAGCGGCAGTGGCAGCTGATAAGAGCGGGAGGCACGAGAGCTGCGACTTATAAATACTTCTTTGGAGGCTATCTGCGGATCGGCCGTCCGCACTCGGATGCAAGTGTCCATAAAACACACTCGGTGACGAGGCCAACCGTCACTTTGCCACTGAGGCTGCAGAGGCAATTTGCAGTGCACGGCAAGGTCCAGTGAAAATGCTGATAATCTTCGGCGTCTCGAGTGTGAAAACTTTCCACAGCCCGTGTTTATGCGCAGTGGCAAACAAGAGGGCCAGATTGTGGCATCTCAGGAAGTTTAAAGGGGCAAGGTTTTTGGGAAACACGATTGCCACTCGGCGGAACTTTGGCCAGCCAGTCCAGCTGGCCAGCTGTCCCCTGCCATTGATTTATGGCCCACTCGATGGGGCTAATCTCGAGGATTTGGCTTTGTGATTGGAAAATCCTAAGAATTATAATAGCAACCGTGATAGCACGGGATTGATTGTATATCAAAACAAGTTTCACTTATTGAAAATGCCATTCTTACACAGCCACAAAATGTTATGGTTCTTGGAAGTAAGCATTCATTGAAAACATGTTATCCTATATGAATTCATTTTTTGTAAATATAACTGAAACATAAGCATGCATATGTATAATTAATTCTTGGTATTTTAATCCTTAAAATAGGAATAATAGGAATAATAGTATATATCGGTTGATTGCACCTCCACTGAAAAGTTAAAAATTTGAATAATATGCTGGTATGAGAAAGATTTTAATAACCTATTATAAATTAAACACAAAAAGTGTGATCAGTGATCAGATCAAATCCTAATTAAAAGGGAATGTATTTATGATGTTGAGCCACTTTGGGTTTCTGAACAAGACTCTAATTGAAATCCAACCCATCCAGGGGAACCATTTCTGTTTTTGGTTGTTAGGTACCAAGAACATCAACCTTGATAAGAGCGCATTCCGGTTGGGTTGCAGGCACGTTCGACAGCACTTTCGCCTTCGATAGAAACCGAACGGCAGCAAATGTATCTCGCAGATACACGCCGAGCGGTAGGTGCAGACACGTTATGGGGCCAAATGAAATGAAATGCGAACAGGCGGAGGAGACAACATGCAACTGAAGCAGAAACAGAAACAGAAACAGAAACAAGAGCAACACGATATAAATAAACCACTCAGACGGCGCAACAATGGACACTGCCAGATACAAATGTATCTACACACGACGATTGGCGGATGCATCGCGTGTGCTCGGCGTGTAAGCGATATGTCTGACGTTGTGTTGAAGCGATTTGCTACATTAATGCCAAAAACATATCGTCGCGGGTGGGAAAATGGGGCAGCGCTTGGCCAGATGAAAGGGAAAACGAACCGAAAGATAGAACATGTATCTAGGAATTTGAAGGGGTAAGATCTCCATTCTCTTTCCTTTACAAAAAGGGAGCTGCGTAAGCAGCTGGCCATTGCTCAAAGCTGGCTTCCTATTCCCGCTGGCAAACCGGTTGGACAAACAACTGGCTAATGAGCGTCTTAAGTTCATAAATTTCGATTCGAATTCCATGCCAATTGTGGCGTAGGCAACCCTCAGTAGCGAACTGCTAGGGTTGCCGGGTCTCGCGATAAATCTCAAAAGCGAAACAATTAATTCCCCTACTGCGCTCTTTTCGTTTTCATTTTCGTTTTCGAATCGAATGGGAATCGAAAACAAAACTGGTCGCTGGTGTCGTTGAACCGACACCGCCGAGTGCTCTGCATGTGCGACACATGTATCTGCGGGCGGCGCAAAGATACAAATGTATCTACATGTGCCACCGTTTCAGCGGGCGTTGTCATTAGCCAAGTGTCAAGTGGTCGACATCGGTCGTAGTTTGCACATCCGCAAGATATTCTGCTTGCCCAACCGATCGCTCGCATTTCCTTTTCGGAATCGAAGCAAAAACAATGAGGTAAAGCAAAAGCAATTGCATCAGCCGGGTTGTTTGTTTAAGCCCAGTTTCACATGACAAGACGGCCTGCGGCTTTATTAATAGACTGCGATACACTCTGCCCATTCGCGTTAGCTCACCTGCGAATTCCTGCCTGACCATTCAGTCGTCAACTAACCAGTTTACACCTGGCTTAGCCTGGCCAGTGCACACCTAATACACCAAATGCAGGGGGTCTTTGGGTGGGGATACCCCTGCCTTCCCTCTCCTTTGCTCCCTGCCCCACTTAGTTGCACGCGTGGGAGCGCTCCTTTCATGAGCTTCTACAGAAGGGGGGGAGGGAAATGGGTTCGGACTTTAAGCGGGTGTCCCATGGTCATCGGGGTTGGGTTTTTGCAACACTTTATCGCTGCTCCCTCACACTCTATTTATGATTTCTTCAGTTCGTTAGAGGCACTCCTTCAAAGCATTCCGATGCCAACAGGTAAACAAAAGAAAACTTCTTTTTAACTGACTTCCGAGACATTCTATCTGGTTTCTAATCCAATTCAAAAGAACTTACAGAACTTATGCTTTTGTAACTTTATATTTTTAAACCAATACTTCTAGGAACATGCAGTTCCCTTCTTCAGATGTAAACTGTCCTATAATATTCTTGCCTTGTAATTCGATAAGAGGATTATGTAAGCAATATTTGTTGGGATCAATACAATCACTAAAGTCATTAACCCAGTTTTCCCGTAGAAATGTTTAGTGTCTAGCAGATAAGAAGAACATTCTCCTCGAAAGTTTTGGCTCCGATAAGCGTTCTCAGAAGTACAAGACCCATCTCCGAGTTTCAGATACCTCCGTTCCCAGCGGAAATTCAATTCAAGCAATATCAACACTCATAAAACAATAAAGAAACGAAAATAAAGTTGTTGACAAACAAAAAAGAAGCCCGTTCGATGACACAAAATAATATCGTTATTCTGAGTGTTTAGAATAAAAGCCAGCCACTTGGTTAGGCAGATCACGTAAGCCATATAAAATATAAAAATTCCAGCAAGACACACGTAATAACAGATATTGTATAGACTGGCGATAAGCTGAAAACTCTGAGAGCATCTCGAATTTAACGACTTTTTCATTAAGTAACGAGCAGGTAACATAACCCCGTTGATAAATACAAAGCAGTAAACAAAGCCAAAGGCAACTTTTGTTTTTTTGTTGCCCGGCAAGAATATTTCTTAGAGCTTCGATCACACCTGTAATGGGCTGTGTTTAGTCTACGAGCATTTACAAATATGCGAACAAACGAGGGTTCAGAATCGAAAACATGATTATGAAAAGCCGCCGACTGACAAGCGAGCTATATAGACGTGTATATCGGGGGATTGGTAACCGGAGGAGAGGCTGATAGGAGGCGACTTGAAGTGACATAATCCGCAGCCGTGACACTTGAGCCGATTCGAGTGTGAACCGCAGAAGGAATGCCGACTGCCCGAGCCCGGCTTTTTCCCGGTATCCGTGTCGCTGTGCTCTCGGCCCGGTCAACAATTAAGGCGTTCGTTCTGGCGACTGAGTGTGGTTTCGCGGCTCTCGATAATTACCTGCCTGCCCCACTGGAGATCGGGGGACAAAACAAAAGTGTCTTACCATGGCGGAAGTCGCGCCGATGTGCCGCCTTTGTGGGGAAACCAGTTGGGGCTAGCTCCCCCGCAACTGCCCGCCAATCGAACCCAATCAATCGCCGACTTGGTTCCGCAAATTGTGAACAGCTTAGAGAACACAGAACAGCGAACAGCAAACAGCGAGTGTGCGTAAACAAATTACAAGTGCCCCGCCGAATCGAGCCAAGACGGAACCAAATCACATGGGTGTTCCAATCAGAGCCGACAGTCCCCAGTCCCCAGAATGGGGAGACTATGAAATCACCTGCCCGCGGCAATCAATATGTAAATCGGAATCGCTTTTAATAACGCACCACTCGATGATTTGAATGAGTTATGAGTGCAGTCGTTGATTAATTACCATCGATCTATCGATCGACACACAGGAAGTGGAAGTGGTATTTCGGAATCTAAATTATGTATTCATTGCGGATCTCTTTCAGAACGTTTCTAAATATAATATAATTCTAATATATTTTTCTAAATATGGTTTTGGGTTCGAAAATTAAAGAAAAGGGAATTTAACATGAAATACCAAAGATAATAATGATGGCCTAAATCTCTGATCAAGTTCTATAAATGTCTCCCTCGAAAATAGAATTCCTTACATTTCATTTCAATCTTCCAAAAATGTATTTATCTTGGTGGTCAAATCTTAAGGCGCATTTTATTTAATTAGTCTGATCCATTCAACCCTACAGCACATATAGAATATAGAATTTATTGAGCGTTTGCCGGAAAAGTTTTTGGCAGCCGCGAGTGAACATTCTTTGCACACTTTGGGCGTCCAAACCGTAAATGTGTAATAAACATTTTATGGACACTCTGGCCGATACTTAAAATTGGTATTTATTAAATCATCGATTGCCGACAATAAATCAAAAGTTTCCGCAGAGAGAATGGAGAGTGCTTTAAGTCCAATTGAGCATATAGTACGTTTATAAGATGGACATATCGAGTGCCTTTGTTTGAATTTCAGATCGGCAAACACGTAGGTGTGTGTGCATATATAATAAATATCTATAGACAGATATTTATTTGTGTAATTATGACACTTTTTTCACGCCAACTTGAGCAAACAAATAGCAGTAAGCTCCTTTGTCTGGGCCAAGCAGAATTCACCGAAGTCGAAGTCGGGTACAGTGAGCAGAGGCAAACAAAAGCCCATAAATAAATCACACGAAAAGACAACATGACAAAAAAGCACCTCATAAAATGTATATATGTATGTTTAATTATTGAGCGGCCAGATTAAAATATTCTGTCCTGTGACAAGCCTCCTTTTGGCAGCCATAATAATAACAACGGCTAAATGACTCAGAGACTTCCTCGTTCAACACTGCATACTATAAGTATGTGGATCTGTCACTTGGAATCGATAAAAGTAAAAAACCAGATGCACGGCTATGCGTAGATACTCTGTGGCAATTTGCATTTCCGCGTTGGGCCTTAAATTATTAACTCATTTTATTTGCACTTCGTTTTCCATTTTCTCCTCTTTCTTCCCATTTAACTTTGTAATTTTCTTTTCGCCGTTTCCTGACAGCTCAAATTGATTTGCATAGCCGATCGCACTTTTACGTGGGCCACGCCCATATTTTTTTTTAGGAAAAACGTTAACAGCTGCGTCAACTGGCCAAGTGTAGAATTTAGTATTGTTTAGTTTCACTATCTATCTGTAGAAGTCGGGCGACATCACGTGGCCGAAAATTTATGCACACCTCGCGGACACCGTGATAAGTGGCTTAGTCAATAAATATTATATCGGCGCTTTGTGGGGTATTTTGCCGTTTTGCGTCAAAATAGAAACTGAAAAGTTAATCCGCCTTAATTATGCTATCAGGTGTTGATGGAGCGTAGCGCGCCTAGATATTAATTCTGCGTCGCATTTAATTCAAAGCGTATATTACCTAAGCACATTTTCCTAAAATTCAATTTAGCAGCAACAACAACAACAGCACCTGCTAGGATTTATTTTTTGGTTGCCCAGTACTGCGTATCTGTCAAAGTTTGAGTTTAACATTTATTCTAATTATAATTTGTTCTTGCCTGCTCATTTTACGCATTTTTTGGGTCTATTTATAAAAAACGTAAACAGCGCAGAGCCAGCGATTATCTCAAGTGGATGCTTTTCCCATTTTCCCTTTTCTCGCCTCTCGATTCAGAGAGAGAAGCTGCTGCAGTCGCCAAACAGTCTGCAAATCGAGCTACAAGATTTTCGAACAGGTTCGAATCTACATAGATTTGCATAGATTGGTTCGCCTTTGAACCTTTTGTTCAGATTTCTGTCTTATGATTTAATCCAGTTGTATTGAAGGAAATATGTTTTTGGAGTGTTAAATTAGTACATTCAAAAATAACCATTATGAATGGTTCCTTTTATTTAATATTCAAAACAAATTTATGGAGTTTAAAATTGTATTTATGGAAAGTTAAAAAATTCAACTTTGGATTTTGCTGTAGTTTTCTTGGGTTTTTCTTTTCATGTGCGAGTGTGGCAACTTTTGCGGGTCAAGCCGTAAAGGAGTGGGAAAGCCACTGACTTGGGGATGTACATCCATATGTACGTATGTACATATGTATGTGTGTGCGATCATTACTTTTTCATATACCGTTGCCTTTTAATTCTCCACTCAAATGGCATGGAAGGGCCGTAGACAAAATCAGAAAATCCGAAAAAAAAATCAGAAAATAACGAAGCGACGGCAGAGAAACTGGCGACTTGAACTTTTTTTTCGTGGCTATAAGCAGTTAGTGCTGCTTCTTCTTTCTTGCCGACGGTGGTTATTGTCATTGTTGTTGTTTTATTGTGCTGATGACCTTAAATTAGGCGTAGGTCTTTGGTTTTTTGTGCCTGCCGTATTCGTCATTGTTGGCCAAGTTTTTTCTTTGGTTTCTTTTGTGGTGGTCAGCTGTTTTTTTATATTTTTTCCCTGCTACTTTTGTCATTGTAATAAGTAATAACAAAAAGATATTACATGAATGTCATGACCTGCAGGCGGCCGAAAACGCCGAGGAATGTATAAAAAGTTATTCGGTTCTATTTCGCACATAAAAGTGAAAGCCCGAAAAGCTAAGAACAAAGGAAAACGACGTTCGAGACGGGGGCTAATGCCGATTGGAACGGTAAAATAAAACCAACCGACTAAAACAAAACCGTTCACTGCACAAAGAAGCTGGCGAAAAAAAACCGCAAGCCGCGCCTAAAACATTCGCAAAGCAGAATGGCGAAAAGAGAGAGATTTGAGGGGTTTGAGCCCGCGCTTGTCCAAAAATTGCAGCACAGTCATTAATTATTGCAGCACAAATGGTAAATATTTCTATACCTTTTTGAGTTATTTTGTCTTTTTTGAAGTTTGGCACAATTGGATTTCCTTTGGTTTGTTAGTCACATTTCTCATTCGTATTGATTGCACTGTATTGGCACTTTTGCTTGGTTTTAAAACAGCACTCGCGTACAATTACAAATTTCAATTTTATTCTGTATACTCTGTGGACATTTTTCGGTTAAAATAATTAAAAATTATTTATTATTATTATTATTAATTATTAATTATTATTATTATTATTATATATTTGATAACAACTATGTGGGACACTCACAGTGCAAAAAATAAATCTTCTCTTCAATTTATTGCTCAAATTTTGGTGTAATAATATTTAAGATAACAATGGAATTTAAAAAAAGAGAAGCTTTTGCAAGAAAGTATTGCCTTAAATATTCTTCATGAAATTTCAGTTAATAATTTATTGGTAAAATCGATTGTAATTTTTATTTTTAAATTTTAATTTCTTCAAATGATTTAAACTCTGGCGAACAGATTTCGAAGAGTGCAGACAACTTAAAAAGAATTTTCGAAAACGGAATTTTAACTGTGTGACACTCTTAACAACTCAATTTATTACTGCGGCCAGAGCAACGGACGCTAATGGCTGAAATGCAACGGACAATCGGAAGAAAATGGGAAATGGGCGCAGGAAAGTAATCAGCATCAGCGGACTGCAATTGTCAGCATCGCCGCACACAGTCGCACCAACTCGATCATAATTTTAAAAATAATTTTTACAATATTTATCGCTGTGCTCCACATATATCTTATTATTAAGCACTGACTTTTGAGCGCGCGCGCGTTTTGTATTTGTGTTTCGGTTTCGTTTGGCGCGGACTCTCAGTTGATTTTGTTTTTGTTTCAGACGATTTTGTGGGTTTTGGGGAGCGAGCTACTTGGCGTTGCGTTCGTTGCAAATGGAAAACTTAAACTGATCGAATCGAACGAAATTTCTACGTGCTGTCTCAGAAAGTGGAGAGCCGAAAACCGAACCGACCGATCTGCCCGATCGCTGCCGACGTCGGCATTATGTTTTTCGATCGCGGCGCAGTCGCAGCTGCTTCTTGAACTCTCTCGCTTGCTCACTCTCTCTCTCTGTCTTGCTCTCGCTCTCTTTCTCTCCCGGCAAACACATGTGCTGCAATAAACTTGTTTTTTTTGCAGGCCAAAAACCTGCTTGAGGCTTTTGGCTTATTTCCGTTCCCAAGTGTGCGTTTGCTTACCGATGTTTAGATACATGTTGCCAGCGAAAAGTGCGGCTGCCACTTAAAGCTCGATTTGCTGACTTTATACACTTTCTTTGGGTATAAGAACTAAGGTGGAGGCTTTTCAACTTGAAGAAAACCAAAAAGAAGAAGTATTTTAATTTATATTACTCCTATTGAATTAGATAAATCCATAACTTGAATTAAGTTTGAAAACAATTTTAACCTCTTGCATCTCAGGAAAATTATGAGAATGATCAGTTTTGTATAGTGGTTTTTTTTATCGAAGACACAAAGTGATTCTTCATGTCATACTCGTATTTTAAATTTAAAAGATTAAAAATGAAAGCATAAATATGATTACAATATCTATGGTTATTTTATGAGCTATGACTGATTCTGGTCGAAAATCTTTGCATTAGAATACATGCCACACATTTTTTTTCACTTTATTATCCCTGCAGTTCCAAAATTGCTTTGTCGTCGATGAAATGTGCAAAGCCGCACCGACGACAGCGGGGGTAGGAACCGTTGCCGCAACGACGACATTTCATAGAGACATTTTATATGGCATTGCCGTTTTCGGTATACATTTGTTCTAAGAGTGAGCAAGAGAGGGAAACTTAGAAATATCACTTTTCCTTTCCTACACACATGATTGGTAATTGCCACAATTCACTTGTGAACAGCCAGAACTGCAGGGATGCTTGCTGGCAACACATCCGAATATATAGAGTATCTTTCAGATTTGTATTCCATCTCTGAGCACCAAAGAAAGGGTATTCGATGTTCGCCTACCTAATATGCTTTTTAGCTTTTTTGTTGCTTCTAATGCTGCTGCGCATGTGCAATGAACTTGTTTTGAATTGCAATTGCGATACACATATTGTTGTTACTTTTTTTGGAGGTTAGTCAGTTGCGGCGACTTTGTAATTTCATTTAAATTACTCATGAGCCATGTGACGGCGCTGCAATTATTTGATTTCGCTTGAAGCTTCTCGGCGGCAAGTGCATTTCCTCAACTTTAATGTAGGTCATTGTTGAGGGGGTGAAAGTGCTGCAATTATCCGGGCAACCCCTCTCACCTGCGAATTCCGTTCGACAAGGAAATTGCCACCAAGGCTGAAGCGTTTGCCATTTGCCCGGAGAATTCTCTTCCCTGAGGTGAACTGCATTTCAGAGCTGGGGAAAGAGGGTAGAGTAGAATTTCCAATTCAGCCTTGGGAATTTCTTTCATTTAGCTGGCAACGGGCGATTTTTTCTTCTTTCTCTGCCCATTTAAGACGCATGACTGGGCTCAAATTGCAAATTATGCAAATTTCAAAATACGCAACTCGACGAAATCACAAAAAGTGCAACATCATTTTGCTGCCGCTCGTTCTCCGTCTCTCTCCCTCGTTGCCGCGTTCTCCCTCCGCCGATTTACAGTTTTTCGGACTCGGACGACCATAATTTTCAGCCTTCAATATTATTACACAATCATAAATTGTTCGAACTAAAATGTAAATGTTTTCGACTGCGCCTTGGGGGCTATAAAAAACGCAATCGCATGTACTCGTACAGCCGAAGCTATGACTAAATCTATGACGATGGTTATGGACAAGGCTTTGGCTATGGGCATGGATAATCAGGGTCTCCGATCGAACGAGTCCCGTGGGGCTGACAACACGAAGCACCACTTTAACAAATTATTTAAAAATATTTAAGATGGCACTGCATAATGCTTTTAGCCGTTGTTTAAGTTTAGCTCATAACTGTAATTATTAATAAAGAAATATATTAAGATTCCATTCCAATCAAACTGTTGAAAGCATTTTGAGCTTACACACCTACACACCTCACTTTATTTGACTTGTATTGAACTCGAAGATAATTAGCTTAAGAGCCATAAAGAATAGTCATTAAAATGTTTTAATTTTGCGATCGACCAAAGACTAGTATGTAATTAGTTTTTAAAGACATTGAAATACAATAAATGGGCTAATGGCATTCACTCCACGATTCTTAAGAAGAATGATTGGAGTTTTTATAGTACTTGTATACTATATATCCAAAATGGCTTTTGGACGGAATTGCATGATTTGTTGGCCTCTTATATTTTGAGGGATATTGCTTTTGTAAAGTAAGTAAGTAAAGTCAAGCATCCTTAAGTTTATTTTCTTATATTTACTTCCTGTTTTTTCTGTTTTGGGGCTGTTTTGCACCAAAATCATTTCCATAATAAACAGATTCATCGGTGAGCCCTACCGGGTTTCTCGACTAAAAGTTTAAGAGCGAAAATATTCGCTTTTAAGCAGCTTCATCTAAATAACAAATGGCATTTCGACTGCCCAGTTTCCCGAAGCGATTGCAGCTTACCAATTTTGCCATCCAACTGTCAGGGTTCCCAGAGCGTTGTTGCTGAGCTGTTGAAAATGCAAAGCACGAGGAGGAAAGCAAAAAGATTTACTTTTTAATTTTCGCTTTATTTTCTTTTTCTTCGCTCTTGTTGTTGGTTGGCGTCCGGAATATGACGGAAGGTACTTCCAAACCGAGCCGAGTATCTGGCCAGCAATGTTTCGACGGCTTTTTGTTGCAGCTGCTAAAAATAGCAAAGCCGCCGCAACAACATCAACACGGCGACTGTTGCAAGTTGTTTGGCCTGCCAAATGGCAACAGCACATGCTGGTGTGTGCTGGTGTGGTCCAATAATGAAAAGTCGGCGGCAAAGCGAAGAAAAACGCTGGCAAACCGGCTAGACAGGAAAATGCGAATTTCGTTTAAATGAGGAAAAATTCAAACGATTTCGTTGTCGCTGCCAGGCAGCTGAAAAAATGCATTTTTGGGTCCAAAGCCCGCTTTTATGTACATCCATACATGTATCATATATCCTTATCTCCCCCACCTACTAACCCCGAAATGCGGTTGGAATCCCGGCTAGAGTATGAGTATGTGAGGCGGTTCGGTTACCGGCTGAATAGTGGTTGTTGTTTTCGGCTCTGTTTGCTTTTCATTCTGTCATTTAATTGAAGCAATGCATAAAAATCGAATTTATATGGATGCACTAAAGTCTGTTCTGCTGCTGTGAGTGAAATTTTTATTCGTTTATTGTTGCTGAATTGAGCTTTAGTTTTTCGGTGCGGCTTTTTTCAATCAAGTTTGTCGCTTTGGTTGCGCCATTCGATTTTTCATACAAATAAATGTGCCTTAAATTTGCAAAGCAATTGCAAAACGTGCCTGAATTTCTTTGAATTCCTAAATGCTCTGTATTTGAACTGTCGCATGAGAATATTCAAAACAAAACAATTAAAAAGCGGAGGCTTAACGGCTTTTAAATTGTAAGAACTTTGAATGCCGAGATTTATATATTATTCCTTTGAATGATTTTGGTTTTAGTACCTATCATTACCTATTAGTACAGGTTACGCCCTTAATATAGATTTAAATAACTTATACAGATATTCTGACACATGTAAGAGCAAGCAGTTATTTTATCTATTTAAGAATTTTTTTGCAACTGAATATCTGTGTAAATTTTTGTTTTTAAGCTGGCTAAGCTTAGAGATGAAAAAGATTTGAGTAATCCAAAACGGTTACAAAATAACATAATATTTGGATTATGAGTCAGGTTTTCGATAAATATAAATGCAAATCTATTTAAAATGTTTTGAAAATAGCATAAATCTTATGCTGTCACCAAGCTCGTTACTCAAACAGAAGTTTATACTATTTTGTATTCAGTTTTTGAAAATCAAAACTAGATTCCAATTAATGAATTTGTTCTTTTCAAAAAGACTGTCAAACGCTGCTGTTAGAGACATAAATTCTAGCTTCAACTCGATGTTGAAGTCGAGTTGCCAAAGGAAGTGACAAGCCCATTGACATTTGCCATTTGGGGCTTCTGGGGAAAGGAGGGGGTCGTGTTAAAACATTTGTCATAGAACATTTAAATATTCATCCATTATTGCCCGCCTTGTGGAAAATTCAATTTCAAATCCAATTATGCAGTCAATCAATTTGTATTGCACAAACAATTTTATCGCCAAAAACTCAAACAAAAAACAGAAACTGTTGTGTTCCCCCTTGGGGGCATATGAGTTATAATTTATTTACATGGTAAATACAAATCGTAGGAATGGCTGTTTTCGTGTTATCAATATTTTTCGTATTTTTCCAGCGCTTTTGCCAACACATGGGGCGCCATAATTGGGGTCAATGTCAGGCGAATATACTTTTCCTTGCCTTTTTAACCGAGTCTGTATTTGTGTTTATATCGCGAGTATTTTGACAGGGCAAAGACAAAGGTAAATATTTAACTTTCACAAAATACTAATATTTTACCTATGTGTCAAAGCGAAACATCGATTCGCCGCACAAGAAGGATTCCAGCAACATGCAATTGAATTATTATTAATGGCCCATCATGGAATCACAAGACTTAAAAGGTGATGTAGCACCTTAAAGTTGCCCCAACCCTTACAATTCTTTTATGAATTTGATGGAAGAAGCCGTTCGCTTCTCAACAGATAAGGATAAAATACGCAGCTATAAGCAATATTTAAACTGGAATACAAAGTGATAAAAGCTGTTTAATAATACGGAAAAACTTTTTAAAAGTCTGAAGTTGAGTTTTCCGTTTATAATATAATATATGTAGGTAATAGATAATAGATAAAACCACATTTGAGAAACCTTTATAAATCAATATATACATTTTCAATACAATCTTTTTTCAGGACTAATAAAAATACA